CACACGTGTATCCCATGACTGCTCGCCAGCCTCAAATAATATCCCACGTGAACTACTGACAAAACACCAGTAATTACTTTTACTATATCCGCTTGCCCGATCTAGTGAACGCCAGTGCTCTCTTGTTTAAATAAGGCCAGGATACCTCGAGCTGACCCCATCACCATGCACATTCGTTCATTTCTCAGAATTACCCTGTCCCTGACAGTCAAGATATGACAGATGAGGTTCACCTGTCGAGTGTAGTAAAGGTTGGCATATTATTTTCTTCAGGTATGCATTGGAATCCTGGCATGTGCGCAGCGACTAGGTATCCAGTTTAGTGGGGAGCCAAACAGATTTTTCGTGATGTGGGTGGCAATATTCCTGCCGCTGGAGTTCCATTCCGCTCTTTTCCGGCACCAAACATCATTTTCTGACTAGTCTAGCCAGCATCTGATTAGAATGTGTAGAAGCATATAGCCTGTATAAGTAAATACAAGGAACATATGAAAGGCTGGCTTACAGGACCCTGAGCCGTCACCTATGGTCTTGAGCCGTTGGTCGATAATCGGTCTTACACGCCTTACGACTGTCGCTTGTTCTGTTGCTGCTACCTTCTCCGACGATGGACTCCTGCATGAGTATGAAAGCTCAGAACAATAAACGAAATGCCCCGGCGCTCGACCACGCTTATACATATCTCAGGCGCTGGTTGCGGACCATGAGATCCTGCGCCTAAATCTGCGCAGCCGTCTCGCCAGTGGTCAGATATTATTTGGCATGTCTATTAAATGTTAAAGAGTACGCAACGGCCCAAGCCTTCGAGTTCAACATGGGCGTAGCATGTTGAACCAAGCGCTTGCCTTAATCTCCAGTCAACGTGTCCTTCTTTTAGCGTCAGTGGACGGTAGATGTGGGGCGAGAGAGAGTGATGTATGTGGTGTAAGTCCTACTTATTACAATCCGAATAGTACACAGGTCTCAACTACTCCTACGGGACGGTAGTGGATATAAACTCTTAGGATTGATGAACTGTCGTTCTCACCCTCGTTCTCCGAGTGAGTTTACGAAGGTATGGCCGCAGTGGCAAGTATAAGCTTTTTTCAAATTCCGAACGTCATTTTCGAACACCAAGGAAGGTCGCTGTTGCCCCCCAAACGGGTCACGCGGTAGATGCGCAGAACCAACACAGAGATTCTGGCAGACGTTATTGAATTGTAAACCATAACAAATGCCAACATTTTGGCGTGCGGTGGCAGACCTGGTTTCCGGCAGACGTCGGCACACTGGAACAGTGCCATTTCCTATTGTTGTTATTGGTCAAAAAACTGTTTATTTGCTGTGTGACCAGGGGTATGGAATGAAGCACCAGGGTGTAGGATCGACCGTGTCATCCACCTGCGGTTTTCCCTGCATCCGACCTTCTTGATTCTGTCTTGACACCAAGTGCAGGCGTTGGAAGAGGAGAGAGTGCGGTAGATGCTGCGTAAGTCTGCTATAACTATAAGCTAATTCCCGCACAAGTCACCGTCCCGACTCTCACCTTGCTGCGCAGCATACGGCGGACTTCCTCGGCAACGACGGTCGAATTGTTGAGATGGGCTCTACGCGGATCCCCTTTGAGCACCCAGAAAGGCGTCTGATTTAGGAAGCGAGTCCGTGCTTGTAGAAGAATCTGAAGATGCGATTCCCTTCACCTTCTCAGGTATCGGCCATGCACATTGCTTCCGACATTCAGCAACATGTGTGCTGCCTAACCAACTACATAGCATTAGGTAATATTTGAATACAGGTATAGACGAAACCCGGCTTAAATATACCATAAACATGCCATAAAGTAGCAAAAAGCAAATTCCGGAATGCGCAGTCTCAGTAGGTGCCGGGGGGACTGATGGTCCTCAATCGAGGGGCATGTGCAGCCACAACGCCACGACTGACACCATCAGTCAACCTTTGGTCGCAACACAATACAAACATCGTTAAGTGGTCTTTTCCAGCTGCAGGACCAACGGCATGACAAAGAGTTAGGATTCCAGGAAAAAGTGGGCTCTCCATCATTCCTCCTTTTAATTAAGACAGATTGGCAAAAGACGCCCCCTTTGGCGACTTCCTCAATTCGTACCGCCGGCATATCTTTGAGACTGACATTAAACGAAATTTTCCGACAGCCTGAATAAATTTTAGGACGAAACCAATGTTTGCTTGGTCTATGGCCAACATGAACGAAACTCAAAACAAACATAACAAGCACGCTCTTTCATCTGTTCTTAAAAAAAACGAAAAAAACAAAAAAAAAATAAAAATACCCCCTCCTCCGCGGACTCACTTGAAAGCTCTTCGACGCGCAACTGTCAGGACGGTTCGTGCTGGGATAAAAGCTTTTTAAACGCAGAGAATTATTTGGGCAACATGTTTGGTTGACTACTTTAGAAATTCATTTATAGCTAAGGAGCGTATTCGTAAAATGTTGGCCGAAATTCTGAAATTCGTTTCCGACGTTAAACAATCAATTACGTTGGGCTATAGTGTTAATTGCCATACAACGTAATCCCATGATAATTCAGTTACCTTCGGATGTCGATCGGCTGCAAAGATGACACTGTAAAAGTGACTGCTTAATTTGTGTGACGGTTCGACGGGCTCATAGATTTAAACATGTTTCGCATAAAACCCGCAAAACAATATTCATTCTCTTACTCATTTTTAAGAAAAGCACATCTATTTAATTTTATATTTCAGGTAAGAATATAATACGGTCTTAAAAGTTTAAAAATGTGACATTTTTAGTACCAAGCAATGTCCGTTCACAAAATTTCCTGTCTCTGAATTTGCTAATGTTGCTTGCATAATTTGGAAAACGACTCAAACATACCGCCAACTTTTACAAACTCCGTATTTGTCCTCTTAATGCCGCATAGAAATGTACGATTTCCCGTATAAGAAAAATGCACAGCTATTAGTATGTTGACACTGAATAAGAGCGCAACCGTAGGTCAGGTTATAAATGGTTTCGGATTCCAAAAGGTATTCTTAAACCAAATTGCATACTTATGCTAGGAATAAACTTGGAATAGGACGTCACTGTATGACGAATGATTGAGAGAATGGATATTTTATGCATGCTTCCTATTCAAAATATTTTGTTATACAAGGGCTTCGAAAATCAATAAAAAAACACATGCAACATAAGTACTTACCTATTATAATATGCAGTTTTGCAGGTGCCTGGAAAACTGTTCGTTTTAATGTCGTACCACTGAAGTAACTGAATTATTATCGGATTATGCTGCACGGTGGTTAATATTACAACCCTACTTAAGTTATATTTTCTAATCGGAAACGCATTTTAGAATTACGGCCAACATTTCATGAGTTATTGCATCTGCTGTAGCTTAAGATAAATAAATCGGTAACACAAATGTCAGGACTCTGTGTAAGGCTCATATGCTGCAATTGGTTGAGGCACATCCAAATGTGAATCTGTGAAAATGTCAACGGAACTTCTGGAATGCACTTAGAACGGGCAACGCAAGTGGTGCTGTCGTGCTAATTATCGTGCAGCATAAGCCAAAGATATCTTAGCGGCGCTGGAATGAAAACTTTTCCTTTCGAGTCTTTTCAGCCACCTGAAAACGCTTTCGGTAGAAGTGATTGTTTGCATGGTATGTGTAGTGTGGTACGATCTTTTCCCTTTCCTTTAAAAGGTCGAATTCATTTTATATAAGACATAGTCAAAAAATCTCATTTCATGAAATTACAAACGGAGAACCCAGAAAAACTTCAGGAATTCAGACAACGGCGAACCTTATGCAAAAGACTCATCCGTGAAGTACGAGGTTCTTATGAACTGAAGCTCCTAGAAGAGCCGCAGAAAAACCTAAAGCGTTCTATGCATATATCAGGAGCAATACAAAAAACCGGGACCATTTAGCAACCATAAAGGACAAGAAATAACCGAATAGTGAACGATGGCTTTCAAAAAGCCCAGCTTCTTTCCCAGTTTTTCAAAAGTGTCCACACCACGGAACCACCCCTCCAGTCCTATTCTCTTCCACTGCCCGCCAACCAACCGCTTATAAGCACAGTATTTTTTTACTCCGCAGTTAGTTTTAGCAGAGCTAAATAAGCTGGATCCGGCCAAGTCACCTGGACCAGATGAGATCCCAGGTGTACTTCTGCGTCAGCTAGCCGAAGAATTAGCAGAGCCACTTTCTATAATCCTCCAACAATCGCTGGAAGCTGGCAAACTATCTGACACATGGAAGTTGGCAAACGTCGTACCTATCCATAAGGGAGGATCACGGCTATGTCCCACGAACTACCGGCCGATTAGTTTGACATGCATTTGCTGCAAACTGATGGAAAAATTAGTTAAAAAATCTATTACATCAATCGATACGTTCCGCTCTCATATCGCCTCAGTTCAACATGGCTTCTGCGAAAAAAGGTTGTGCCTCACAAACCTTCTTTCGTCACTTGAACACTGGTCAAAGGCCATGGATGAAGGACATCCAGTTGATGTCATTTACGTCGAATTCAGCAAGGCGTTCGATTGCGTCCCACATAAGCGCCTCATTCAAAAGTTTTCAGAAGTGGAGTCCCACAGGGGTCAGTTCTTGGGCCGCTCCTATTCATTATCTATGTAACTGACCTAGTACGGGAAGTGAAATCGGAAATAGCGCTCTTTGCAGACGATCTTAATCTTTGGAGAGCGATAAAAGATGAGGATGACGTCAAGATACTACAAGAGGACGTAGAAATTTGCCGCATGGAGCGAGAAATGGTGCATGAAATTCAACGTCAAAAAATGTGCCGTAATGCACGTAATATCAGCGAGGCGAAGAGCAAATGCACCCCCACAACAGTATCTCCTGGACAATCAACCACATAAAACCGTAGATGTGCAAAAAGATCTCGGTGTGTTCATTAAAGACGATCTAAGCGTCACCACGCAGTGCTCTAAAGTCGCTGCGCGGGCAATGTCCGTTATGAGCGCGATACGCAGAACGTTTATACACATGAATAAAGATGTTTTTGGCAAATTATACGGGACATTTGTGCGACCGCACCTGGAATATGCGGTTCAGGCTTGGCGGCCGTGGCTTCGGAAGGACATAGATATCCTTGAAGGTGTACAACGGCGTGCTACAACGGCTGTTCATGGCCTCAAAAACTTCACGTACGAGCAGCGCCTGACGGACTTGAACCTCTATCCCCTCCACAACAGGCAGGACAGAGGTGACCTCATAGCAACGTTCCAGTTGGTAAAAGTACTTAATATGGCTGTCAACTGAGAAACGTTTTTTGAAATGGCACCCAAGTCGAATCTCAGACGACATGATTACCAGCTTAAAAGGGAACTGTGCCAAACAAATCAACGCTCCTCCTTTTTCACACAGAGGGTTTTCGCCAATGGAACTCTTTGCCGGAGTTTGTTGTTAATTCCCCTACCGTGAACGTGTTCAAGAGACAACTGGATGCTAACCTGCTGAAAGGCAACCCGAACTGCCGAAGCCTGCTCTAATGGATTACTGAAATGACTATAAATATACTACTGACAAGATTTCAACAGATCCTATTTTGTGCGTCAAACTTAGCCCACATTGAAATTTTCACAGCCCGAATGAGTTGAACAAAGTTTTTCGCAATTATTTCCCGAATATAATACCCCTTTGGCCTTTATGTTACATTATTAGATTTATGAATTCACCTTACTTAACTACAAGCAAAATCTTTGCAATTTAATTATTTTCCCTTATATCAGTACCCTCTAAATGGAGTTTTCAGGGCTTTTGTCGTTTACTCCAAATATACTGACTGATACTGACCGAATCTTTCCAGTGGCCGGGGGGAGCTCATTGAATATCCTGCATCCTTGAATGACTGCAGACTTCTTTGAATTATCTTGCACGGTAATCCGTATTTCAGACCGACTTAAGTAATCCTTCGTAGTTTAAAATTGTATTTCATGTGATCTGTTACTGACTATATTGGCTATACCAAAGTCGGTAAGGGTAGGGTATGTACCCCTGGGTGGTTGATGAGGTTCATAACGGTTTACCCGACAGCTGGTCGCGAATAGGCTTATGCTGGAAGCATTTGTTGGCCTCAAATGTGTTATCAACACTAACGTTTCTCATTTGGGACTCTCATTTACGGCTTGGACAACTGTACATATTCGCGTCAGCTGATTATTCTGCTGTTGTCAGGCTCGGTCTCCGGTTTGGATTTGAAATCAAGGCTAGGGATGGGGCTGCAGGGCTTGGCTTAAGGTTACGGTTATTTGCAGTTTTTTCTTAAATGCTCAAGGGTTAGAAATATCCCACCAAAGGCATGTCCGTGGTTGGTGTTAGGTTTGTAGCTAACTGCGGTTTACCAACGGGTTATATATCACGCTCTTGTCATAAAGCCCTTCCAGCTCCGTCGCCTGCTCACGCACAATCGAAAATATCGAGTTTATCTTAAATAAATGGTTGGTGAAAACAGTTAGATCTGTCGAAATCACTTTAATACATATAAGTCATCTAACGAGTCCCATACTGATTGTTTACAAAGCTCTGTGTGGGGACGAAGCCTACTTCATTAGAATTGTAGACTTCATATCCTGCGCGAGTAATGCGAGAAAGTTTGCAAAAACTGTTAAAATTTTCAAGATTGCAAACAAAAGTAAAGTTAAAAGCTACGCACTCCTCGTCACATTTTATGAAGTCCGTTCAGAAGTGTGGGCGCTTGATGAGGTGACTCTCCATCAAATGAGATACTTTCACGATCATGCATTAATTGGAGTTAAATCAGCACAACGTGTATTTGCTGTGATTAGCCACCGTTATTTAGTCTCTCTGGTCTGATCAGGAAAACTTTAGTTTCTTTAAGCGCGTTCGAAACCTTCTTTCAACTGACGTGTTTTATTGTTGTAACTCCCGATTGTAAATTGTAAAATTGTAAAAAATCGCAAAAATATGTAAAAATTTGCAGCCTTCTTATGCTGCGCGGATAATGCGAGAAAGTCTGCAAAAAATGTTAACTAATCAAGGCCCTCGTTCACAACTTCTCAAGTCATTGATTTGGAAAGCTGACTGTGCTTATGTTCTCCGGTTAGGGGTTGCGGTAATATGTGGCAAGCCTAGACGGGTTGCTTAGTTTTGTTAGCAACTGCATTTGAGCCCAACTTGGCAGTGTCTTGCCCTTGGTTCCAGGCACGGGAGGGAGTGGAGGGGTTGTATCGGGTGGCCCGCAAGTCTGACCTAATGTAGGCTGGTTCACCAGACACTAAACGTCGTGCTTCCACTGCATGGGGTACGTGGAGGGCATAGTCATTCGCAACGTCCATGAGGCAGAAGATCCAGAAAAGCAAGGAAATTTATGACAACTACTGACGTCAAGCAATAACGATTTATTGTTTTAGAAGAAGAAGAAGAAGAAGATGATGATGATGATGATGATGATGATGATGATGATGATGATGATGATGATGATGATGATGATGATGATGATGATGATGATGATGATGATGATGATGATGATGATGATGATGATGATGATGATGATGATGATGATGATGCGATCACTAGAGCAAGATGTTTATTGACCTGACGTGTCGGATTCTCAATCGGACCCACTGACAAAGACAGTCGCAGACAAAGTCAGTAGGTACATAAAGACTGCAAAACCGATAGTACGTACTTTCTGCTGTACGTACAATAAATAAAAGTTCGGGTGACCACCACCGGGGGTTGTAAATGAGACGATGACAGCTCGTCAGTCCACGTCCGAGTAGCAAACTGTCGCAATCAAATGTCCGTGTTGGACGTTGTCGTTTATTCTACTGTCACCGGCATTGTTGTTTGACCGCACTGTCCTCACGTGACGGCTTCCCTTGCTAAGGGAATGTCTCAGCGCAGAATATGGTACTGGGAGGTCAGTGCATATGTTGATGGATTGCGGATCTGAGAACCATAATTTAAGCAGCTTTCGACTCACGCGATCGTCAGTCCTTGCGAGAGTTTTAACCTCCTTAAACTTGAAAATATAGTCGGATTCCGTTGTTAATTGCGCAAATAATGAATCGGACGCGGACTGAAGAGCCATCGTCGCCTCAATAACGACCTCAAGCGGTGATCGCGTAAGCTATTAATTACAGTGAGCATATAGTCCCACAGCAGACACGTTCTATAAATACTGCAGTCTTTGGGCGACTGCATTTGATGATGGGTTCGGGTGAGAATCCGAAACGTCAGGCCAACTAACTTCTTGTTCCAGTGGTCGAATCATCTTTTTCTTCTGAACTGCTTCCTGGAATTCGCCTGTCAGTCCTATCAGCAATTTGTTGCTTACTAGCTTACTGAAATGACTGTTTGCCTGTCATGACCCGCGACGACCGCTTTGTAGTTGACAAACTGCGTAGATTTGTATATAAGTCGAGCTCTCTGACGACTATCGCACTCTCTCCTCCCTCAAATACAGTGAGTGACCGATCTCATGAAATGTTGGCTGAAATTCTGAAATGCGTTTTCGATTAGGAAGGATTACTTGGTCGCGCTTGTAATACTGACTATCTTGCGGCATACTCTTATAGCATTTTGGTCTCGGCAGGATGTCGGCTTTTGAATGCATTTCTTTTCAATCTCCTATAGAAAGCGTACTCGGTAAAAAATGACTACTTAAGTAGCATGCATTTTTCCATTGATTTTCGATTGTCTTGCAAATTCGAAGATATTTTATAGAAACCATGAATAAAAATATGCGTCCTTTAGTCAGTCAACAGAGAATCACGTCTTCTTTATATTTTATACTTAAGGAAGGAGTATAATTTAAAAATGTTTTCCAATTGCCGAATAATTTGGAGCCTGATCATTTGTTGCATTAGCTCTTAGTAATTTCAGTCTGCAAGGTGCATGCGATCCGCGTAAAGAAAATCACATATTTTTCTATGCCATTAAAGAGATATCATACAGAGTCCATAAAATGCGTCAACTGCTGTATGCACGGAGTTCAAAGGTGTTCCTCCGAAAAACTGCACTTTTAAGGAACAGCGGATGGCCTCGCAGAATAATTGCATCGTCCTGAGATTTGCATTACCGAATTGACAGTGTCGTCGTTGTACACGGTTTCGTCACGAGATAAAGATCAAAGTTCAACAGGACAACAATATTTAACGCACACTGGTCATACAGATTTGCATTTTTAAGCTCAGTGTCGCCGGGTCTGACCTGACAGGCAGTCGGCGCAACACCCTGCGTCAGGTGCCTGCACAGGCAGCGGGATAAAAGCTCCGATTTTACTGAGAAACCATCAAAATGACCACTGTAGTCAGCACCGAAAAGTTCTAAGCCATTTTGTGAGCGATATAAGTGACTATGGCGGGTCAACGGTTATTTGAACTGAAGGCACCACACAGACCCGCTAGCAACATACTTGTTCCTCTTTATTTAAAGGAAAATGGTGGCTGATATTTGGCGACTTATCTAGAACCTTATTAGGTCGCAATCTGCCAATGTCATCTATCGTTCTTCGCTTTAATGCCGCGCCATCACATTTTTCGGACTTATGCAGCTTGTTCGGTTTTCATGTGATGTGGCGTGATACTTAAACTTTCGTCTAACAACTCTTAAGTTCGACATTCCGACCGTCTCTTCGCAAAGCCGCCTGTGTTTCATTCAATCTGATGCACTTTTAGTTTAAGTATAATTTTGTGTCGTCCCAAAGTTGCGCAGCTAATTGATCTGAATGTTCTGTGAAATTTTCATGTTAACTATTTTAGCTTAAACGTCCCCAAATATGGGCATAAATATCTTCTTTAGCCTCCTGCTTATTGGTAAACTTCTCAACACCCCTCGACGAATAGGTGGTAGATGCTTGTTTTAACTATCAGGAATTTTTAGTAAAATTTTTCGGCAAATGAATTTTCTTCCCATCCACTGTCCACAATCGGAAGATACAGCTTATATCTTCGGTTCCTCAATCATGTTTGAAATCATTCCAAAAAAGTCAAAGTGACACTCAGTACTATCTATCCGATGACCGGTAGAACTGAGTTTCGAGCAATCTCGGCCAGAAAATACGAAATGGTTCATTTCTGGTTATTTTTGTTGAACGCCTGTCTTATGCAAGCAAGTAAAAAGTTACCAAAGCAAAGAATAGGCCTTTTAGATTGCTGTTAATGACTATGGCAGAATATGAGTCGTGGTTTGTCCCAGCCTCAAGTGATTTGCAACGGATTGCTACAGATCTCTCACTTTTCATATGTCTCATGCACTGCATTCGAACTTTCAATTTAACTTAGTCGATGACCACAGCGATTAACAGTGATAATTCACCATTCTTTGTCAGAAACCCAAAATCCCAATTGTTAGGCAAATATTTGTTTTTGGTTTTCGGAAAGCTTCCTTCGAATTCCTAGCCATGTTTAGTTACACCTACAATGAGAGATTGAACAGTTACATTCTCATGTCGACAGCAAGATAATGGATCCACCAGCATTGATGACATATCTGCCAGTTCCAACGATTACTGGCACGGTGTTTTGACCCGTGAAAAAATGTCACATCAGTCTGAACTCATCTTACAAAGTTTTTGTTAGAGTTTTTCGACAGCACACAGGTAGCCCTGCCGAACTTCGCGCCCTGAGCCTTAGAGGTTTTTGATGCGCTGCCGTGTGAGTTAAAATTCAGCCCACAGTGTTCTAACGCGATTAGAAAAGTTAGAGCATTCTAGTGCGGTATACATCACTGGATTGCAACAACAGTGTTACGTGCGTGGGGGAATGGTACGCGCGCAGAGCATGCTTTGCCTGTTACTCTGTGACTAAAAGGAATTTGGCAAACAAGAATCATTGAAGATCTCATTGAGACTTCAAACTCGATGTGTGCGTAAACACTCCCAGTTGCTTTTGTCTTTCACTCATGCGTGACTAACGCAAAAAGGCCAAGCACCTTGAGAATGTTCTTAAGTGGATCAGCAATTTCACCACACGTTGCGGATTAAACATATGCTTGGAAGGTTTTGAAAGTGCAACATAACTTAGGGGGGAGCTTTAGGTGTAGTTCCTTAAGTCCCTCCGACGTTTGAATTCTCATATCATAGGATTATATAAAGGCCGACATATGGCCGGAGTTACGCGATGTATACTTAACTGCATAAACATACTTCACCGACATGTTCTTTGGTCATGACTATTATTTAAAATCCCTTCGCAGTGCTACTCTGTTTGAAGTGTGCATTCCGGTGAAATAGCGCAAGCATTAGATATGGGTGCGTTCGGTTACAAATTATTTTAGCAACTTTACGTCTATCTGTGAACTTGGCTGACACTTTTTGACTGGCCACATTTGAAGTAGGTGGCCTAACTCATGAAATGTGTCGAAATTCACGAATGATTGCTAATCACTCGCAAAACCGACATCAATCCGTGGATGCAATATCTGTGTTATAACAAAATCCTGAAACTTGATTTTTAACTTTCCGAAACGTCTGCCCATGGAAAAAACAGAATGAATATAAAGGCACAAAAGGAATGTCAGTTAAAAATAATGTTTAAGTAAATAATACGTTTAAATTTCCTTCACTAATTAGTGCCATTTCAGGTATGGCGCCTTGCCAACAAC